TATATATATATATATATAAAGTATGAAAAAAATAATGATATTTAAGGGTAAAAAAATAGAAATAGATGTCATATTAATCATAAATCAAACTTGTTGTATGCTTGTAACTTCATGGTGTTAGAGTGATTTATTAATATTTCATTGTTGTACAAAGATTCAACACACACACATAATATGAAATTACCATAAAAGATAACATATTTTTTTACATGAAAAACTTGAAAAGGGGAAAAATCATGGGGTCTAGCCCAGTTGAAATGATTCTATTATCCTAATGCAAAGTATAATTCTTTGCCTGCCCTTGAATAGACAAAAACAATATTACACAAATGGACTGTGGCTTTCGTTAGGAAGGTGACAAAAAATGTTGAGGAAGTGTCAGTGACCCGACCACTATGGAGAAAAACTGACGGTAAGGGAGTGCGTCAGATAATCTGCTACCATGTCTTCATAAGCGGCGACTGGGAAGCAGTGATGATGGTCCAGAGGTGGTGTCAACTCGACGTTGGTGGTCGGCCAGCGATGGTCCCATGGTGGCTGCTGGGTAGTGACAACCCTGCAGTGGCGCGACTCAATGACAGTTGTCGGACAGTGGTGATTTAGGCATGACAACGACCAGTCAGCATGGGCGAGAAGCTATGATGATCGTTCATTAATGAGGGTCAGACAAAGATGGTCTAGTAGTGGCGGTAACTTGTCAGCGGTGGTCTAGTAGTGGCGGCAGTCGGTCAGTGGAGGTCTAAAGGCGGTGGAGCTCAGGAACCCTCAAGTGTTTCAAGCTCCTTCAACTTTCTTCTCTAGGCCTAGGCCTCAAGCCTAAGTCCCCTAAATAAAGGAGAAGGGCACTATGTATATAGTTTGAGAGTGTTATCCTTCATAAATATTGCATAAATCTTGACCATTCCATCATTAGACCAAGCTTAATGCTCTTTATTAGATGATATTTTATGAATATTTATGTACCTTAACGATACCAGAATTGAGTCATTTTATGAATTTTGGAATCCATTTGGCCATTCAATTGATCGCCTGAATCCTCTAATTGCACATAAATGACTTGATTTAGGCTTAATTCGACCCACGTTAGACAAGTTTAGTGTTGTTGGATTCGTTTTGCCGAGAAACTTTGTTTGATTATAAGCTTGAAATCAAAGCTCAGATGATTATGAATTCATATATATAATGGTTTCATGCTCAAAATGCATTGAGATTTCTGCATTATTATAATCGTTCTTGAGGATGTATTAATTGACCTCTATTTTTAGACGTCATTAAATCTGTTGAAAATATACCTCTGATTTTTAGAAAATCGTGCAATGAAATATATTGGTCTCGATGGGATTGTTAAAGGGAGCTGCTTCTTAAGTGTTAGCACTACCTTCTCGCTAGGGTCGTGACCGTGACCCAAAAGGTTCTTCTTGATTTTTTGGAGATATTTTTTTTCCTTTTGGGCTATTTTTAGAAGGAAAAACATAAATACTGGGGAAGGTTTTGAAAATATCTAAAAATTTTAAATCAGCTCTATTTTTTTTAGATATTCTTCTGCTTTTGCATTATTTTTAAAAGGGAAAATATATTTTCTTATAAAAATTTAGATTTTTCCAAAAATTATTTTCCCTTTTTGCCCCCTTTCTCAAGCTTAGAAATACCCCTTTGAGATGCTATGGAGGGCACACCTCTCCTCCTTGTTTGTACTCTAGATGGTGAAGTCAGTGTCTTCCCTTGCAAACTGAAAGGGTTGGTCGCTTTCACTGGACGGATCAAACTTGAAGTGGGTTAAGACCTATGATTCTATGATTGGGTTGAAGGTTATACCAAGGCCTGTGATTGTATCACTCGATTGGAGGCAATTAAGGTTCGTAGTCCGACGACAAGACAACTTCTTCCTTTTTAGAAGGTGTTGGCCGACTTCATTTAAGAGACTGGGTTAGAGGCAATCAAGGCTCATATTCTTACATTTAGTCAATTGTTTTCCATTGAAAATGTGTTGACTAACCTCATAGGATAGATCGGGTTGGAGGTGATCAGCCCTATGGTAGTGTGATGAGGGATCTGTCTTCCCTTGAAAAAAGTGTTGACTGACCGCATTAAAAAGGTCTTGTTGGAGGCAATCAAGGTCTATAGTTTTACAATGAGGCAACTTTCTTCCCTTGAAAAAGGTGTCGACCAGCCTCATTGGACAGACAAGGTTGGGCAACAGTGACGATGATTTGAAAGCGGTGATAATAAAGTGATGGCATTTGAACAACGGAGATGACTGGTTGATAACAGTAGACACATTGTCAACCTGACATTAGTGCTCAAGTACATCAATAACCTAACGACAATGCTCCATCATTGAGGTGGCTCGATGGAGGTGTGTCATGGTAGCAGATCGACGATAATGGTTCAACACAATGGTGGTCCGATGATGATGGTACCTCATGACAACAACTTAATGATGGTAGATCATAGTGGTGGCCTCATGATTCTGTGTCATGGAAGATGCTCAATAATAACGATCTAGTATAGTGGTCATCTAATGAAGGTGGTGTATCATGACAACAACTCGACAATCGTGTAGCATAGTGGCAGCTCGATGGAGGCGTGTTATGGCAGCAACCAAACGATAATGATGCAACACAATGACTACTCAACAACAATTGTTACGTAGTGTTTGTGGTGGTCAAGTGATGATATGCCGACAGCTTTGTTGGCAGGGCAACAATTGTCTAACAATAATGGTTGTGGTCAAATGATGTTGATCGAGTGATGATGGTGATAACATTAGTCGGAGATGGTGATCCAGCAATGATAAAAATGATGGCCAAAACATCGTTGGCCAAGTGATTATAGTTTGAAAATAAAAGTGTATGATGACGATGATGATGTTGGGTATATGATAGTGATCTTATACCTTAAGTGCGACTGTAGTCCAATGATAATTGTCTGACAGCATGGCGATATGAAAATAGGATCCAACATGGCGGTGACCTTACAATAGTGGTCCAATTATAATGGTCGTGGTCCAACAGTGTTCGTCCAACGACGGTGATGACAGCAATGCCATTGGCCAAACAAAGACGGTTTAACAATAGTTGCATGACGTGATTGTGGTAATGGTGACTGTGAGATGATTATAGAGCAACAACGATGGTGTGACACAACAGTAGCAACAATGACAGTCGAGCGACAATGATCCTCTCTAACCAAACATTGTGCCGATAAATTCTAAGAATACTGTCTTTGGTAGTCGCGACCAGACAACAAATGGTCGTGAAGCGACGATGGTGGTTAGGTGGTGGCGATGACTCGATGTTGGTGGTCCAGCAATGTTGGTCCAACGGTGGCGAAGACTCTACAGTGGTAGCCGAGAGGCAGTAATCAAGCAGTGACATCATCCGATTGGTGGTGACCTAGAAGCGATGATGATGGACTGGTGTTGCCAACGACTAGATGGTGACGTTCGGACAGCGGTAGTCCAATGCTGGCGACGGCCACTTGGCAGTGGCTGGGAAGCGATGACAGTCACTCAGTTGTGGCGTTGACTCAAAAGCGATAGTCGAGCAGCTCGACCAGCTGATCGGGTTGTTGTGGTGCAATATTTATGAATCACTCCATTATACAACTCAAATTGATTCCCATTATTAGACGATGCTTTATGTATTTTTAAGTGTCTTAATGATGTCAAAATCGAGTGATATTGTCAGATTTGAAATGCATTTGGCTGTTCAATTGACCATATGAAGCCTCCAATTGCGCTTATATGGCTTGACCTAGGATTGATTCGACTTGGGTTGGACCAAGTTAATCATTTTTAGGATCATCGTGCAAAGACCCTCAGTTTTAATATAAGTTTATTGAGATCAGAACCCAGATGGTTATAAATTTATATTTTGAATAATTTCTTGCTCAAAATGTTTTATGATTCGTGCACAATTAGTACCATTTTTTGAGGATGTACCAAAAATAATAGGCAAAAATTTAAAAATATAAAATATTAAATACAATAAAATATAATAAGCAATAATAAAAAAAAAAACTATAAGCATCAAAATTTTTTTAAAATATTACATATAAAAAACATACACTAAATATAACATAAAACATCAAAATCAAACATTTAATTATACCTATTGTTACTATTTATAAAATTTAAATAAAAAATTTAAAGAACTAACATCAGACCCATTTGTACTGAAACATCGAAGCATCATAGATATCTATAATAATATTTTTATAAATCCGTTCACTTTTTCATTGTTTGAGATAGAAGATTAGAGCAATCTGTATTTTTTCATAAATAGTATTAAATTTTCATAAATTTTACTATTGCCCAGTTAAAGACAACAGTTCGATTTTGTTCCATTTTGAACACTAAACATCTCATCCAGCCGTTGGGATTTTAAATTTATAAAGATTTTTAACATGACCGTTGGAATAAGGTTGACGTTTTTTATACTAATAATCAAACAAAGATGCACTACTTTTTAAAAAAAATATGTTTCAAATTTAAATCTTAGGGGGAGAGAGAGAGAGAGAACAATCTTTAAAGCAAGGTTCAAATATTTCACAAATAAGAGAACAATCTCAACCGTCCAAACTTCACAAAAGGTGTCAGATAACAAATATTTAAATGCTTGCAAGTTATTTAGAAGCTAAGTTGATGAAATGAAGGCATCATGCAAACAATATTGAGCATCATGGCTGAAATATTAATAAAAAAAGTAAACAGGCATGGAAGCGTCCATTATTCATGTCTTGACACTCTAAGCCTCAGAAATAATATAAAAATATATATTTATTCAAAAATCTCAAAATATTAGCCTCAATAGTTCTATCACTCCATCAATTTATGCCTGGTATGGTAAACAAGAGGCCATAATCCCCATTCGCATTGGAGTAGTCATCTATAGGGGACCAGGGAAGGTTCCATTCTCTCTCTGTTCATTCCATCGTTCAATCTGCAGAGACAAACCAACTCATATCATAACTACTTTCTGCACCAAAATCACGTTTTGCTCTTTTATAACCATGAAAATTAAACTGACAGAAATTTCTCAAAAAATTATACAAAAAAATTAAACTGACAGAAATCTTTCTGCAATCTTATAAGAATCATATATCAAAAGCTTGGGTCCATCAATTAGAAGTCTGCAAAAACCTAATGCGATCTGAAGTCCAAAGCATCATGGAGCATTAATTCCAACTAAGCATAACAACACAATTATTATATTATTTAGGCACATTGTGCGACCTGTTTTCAAATGGTAATTATTCATTAACATTACTACAACATAAAGTGATATATTTGATCTACTACATAGAAGAAAAAATTATTATATGAGGATACAGCTTGCTGAGATCGTGTGATTAAAATATAGAAATGCCTCAAAAATATAATACAATAAAAGAATGGCACGAAAACTTAAAAGGTAAATTACATACAATTACTATTAGACTGCTTATGCTTTATGAATCTTGAGTGATGCATGATAAAGAAAACATGGATATTGAACATAAATGATACGCTGATTAGATGAAAATACTGAACATTATTATATAAAGTAGACTTGATAACTAATGTAACATCAATATGCATTAAATGGAGCATATAGATTACTAAAGTAGACAGGAAGTATTTGGGATGAAGTTGATGATAATGATGCTAAGGACGAGTTTCTATATTTTTCATATTATTCTCTGCTAAAATCTTCATTCAAGTTGGCTATATATAAGCAGAAGGCAAAAATTAACTCTTAACTGGTTTACATTTTTATGAAAGTACATTAAGAAATAAATATCAAGCATATTGGATGCCTAAATAACACCAACTTCCAGCTTTTGCATAATAGTTCCAACCGCACAACAATGATATATGCATACAACCTGATCCATTTTTTATATGAGAATATACCAAATGCTTATTCTTTTACTTGCATGACCATCATTATTGCATGATGGTGACTTAAAAATTAAATAATTTATTATTTCTCCATCACTTAAGTTAACAAATACTTTGTAAGCCTTGCTGGTGCACGCAAGCGCATTAGAAAATTTTAAAATACAAAATTTATATGAATAAATGTTATTCCAAAAAGAACAGTTAGATGTGTTACTAATAAAATAATTTTTTTTCTAGCGATCTTTTCAATATTCACAAACCTTGAAAAGAAGGCATGGCAGTGCAATAGTACAATAGGGAAAAGAAGCAAAAAATACAAGGGTGGATTATAAAAGTAGATATAGATAAATTTGAAACATGAATGTTTGTCAAAGTTTGTTAGGGGTGGTTTGGTGTGATGTATTAAGAGTGAAGGGTAAAAGAAATGCAGGGATATTAACTTTTGGTGTTTGATTTGAAATAAAATGAATGGAAAGTAGTTGAGGCAGTTGGAATATCCCCAACATGCCCATTTGTAATGAATTAAGAAATCACCCGAATAAGGCAAACTCCAAAGGCAAAGAACTCACAGTTATCGCCATTCACAACCCAAAATGGCATTTGCCTTGATCCTCCGATCTTATCTTCACCAACACAACCCTACACAACCCTGCAGGGCATTGCCAGCCCAGAACTATCGTCCCCTGTTCTTACCATCACAAGCCTCAAGCCCCACAACATCATTGTCCTTAATCTTGCTATACTTCAACTAATTGTCACTAGCCTTGGGCCCACAAGACAACGCTGTCCTAGCACTAGAATGAATCCACCATCCTCACATGATTCCAACCCTGAATCCACGCTTGTCACAGTCCACATCATCTGCGCATCTGTCAAGCTACCATCCTAACTGTAATAACATATTTCATTTTCAGCCAACCAAACACAAAATTGAGTTCGTCCCCAAAAGGAAAAAAAACAATAAACATATTTAATTTACATTTAATTTGAAATAGACATTTATTTCAAATACTTGTAACCAAGTAAACCCATAATCATTTAGATTAAACTTCGAAATAAACAACAAAGTTTACTTTATTAGCACTGTGATCAGAATTGAATTCATCTCATGACTTTAAGAAAGGGGACCAACACAATTTAATAAAATTACATACCCCTATCCTTCCTACCACTGTTTGTAATAAATTGGCAAAAAAGTGTGGAATATTGCATCAGTATAATCATCAGCCTGATCATCATTAACCTCATACACGTCATTGGGGTCAACTTTGAGTCTTTATTTTCCAATCAATCTTGCAGAAAATTGCTTGATGTATTAAATATATTCTTTGCAAATTATTTTAAAAAGCATACCTTAGGTTCCGTTCCATTCAATATCAATTTTATCTACCTATCTAATGGTTGCATTTTCTACCTTTCATTGTACAAGTTCACCGCTTAAATCTATTTTCAACTAATTTATGTTCCATAGATGTCATCGCAATAGTGCCTTATAAATCATTAACTTATACTTCCTCATTTTATCACATATATCTTAATATTTGTATTTTCACCACTCAACGAGCAGTGATCTTTTTATTGCTTAATACTCAATCTAATACAATAAAGTATGTCTAATTATAGCTTCATAAAACTAATATTTAAATAACATAGAACATCTTGCATCTAAGGTTTTCTAAGAAAATATGTTAAATTTGTGCGGTTAGTTGGTTGTCAGAAAAAAAATTAATAAAACTTAATAAACATCAAATTTAAATTTTCATCATCTATTCCGTTGGATTAGTTATAATGGGGTCATTAAGAAGCATACAAGAATTTTGGCAATTTATTAGCATTATATCAGACTGCATTATCCACTAATCATGTGCATGATTTTCTAGAAATTATTTGTTTGTTTGATACTTACTGTTAAACTTGGTGATTAAAATATTACTAAAAAGGTGATTTAGAAATATGTGGAAATCAAATCAAGTTATATAATAATAGTTAAATCTAAACCCTGAAAGATTTTCTAATAGAACCCTTATAAATTAAGAAATAGATAAATGGAACCATATAAAATTATACAAATGTATTGGACCAATGCTTAGAAATTCTCCAAAAAAATTTTGGGCTGAAGTAATCTTCAATTTATCTAAATTTTAATCATGATACTGCCTTAAATTATTCTTTATTATTAAAATTCCTTATGATAATTCATGAGATTCTCTATCGAAAGTACAGTAAATATATGCCCAAATCTATTTGAAAATTATCAACTGGCATTTCGTGAGAGGCTATTTTTACTAATACAAATAAATTCAATGCAAATTTTAATGTTTATAATCATTAAAATGAAAATCTTTATGCTAAAACCTAAACTTACATTTGATTTTAGTAGTTTTATTTTTATTTTGCTAGGAGTTATAATTCAATATAAGCTTTCATGTACATGCCTAGAATATTAACTTATCATAAAAGTTGATATGTAAAGAGGACCTGAATCAATTCATTGAAGGTGTTTTATTAAGCCAAAATGATTGACTTTGCTTAAATTACTGTCAATTAAAATTCCCAATTCTTCCTCCTTGATCACCTGTGTTCATAGGTTTCTTGATTGTGATTCCCAGCTCCATCCTCTTCAACCACCCCAATACTTTTTTCCTCCAATGACTTAACCACAGCTTTTGTGACTCAAGCATGACACCCTAACTTGAGATGGGAAGAGCAAATTTTATCCGCCACACTTGTCCCAAGCTTTGTGGGTGGCTTCCATCATTGCCTGATTTGCCAACAACATGTTTATTTGATTGCAGAAGAGATTCGGGACTTAAAAAAACACAATTTTCAGGTTACTTTGACCATGTAGTTGGTATTTTGAAAGGTTTCTTTTTCATAAGAAACAATCAATTACTCGAGAAAATTTTAGTTGGATATGTTCTTCCTTCTAATTTTGAGAGAATGGTCATTAAAAAAGGGTGAATTGAAGATTTTTGGGTGCGGTTTTCTTCTTATATGGGCATGAGACTTAATTTTAGTATACAAAGTGATCTCTTCCATCATACTTTCATTCATTACTCTAAATTTATAACCAGAATAAAAGTGTGATTACTTCTAGTTTAGTTTGATATAATTTGAATTTCTAGAATTATTTTTTGTAGATTATCGAACTATGGTCGACATTAAATCACATCATATTTTTTATTTGGGAAATTTACATAAATACCACACAATTCCTATGCATTTACATGTCAAACACCTAAAATTTAATATTTACATTTATAACACTTTGGTGTCACAAACTTATGCATGAAAAGAAGTATTTCACTTTCAAAAAGTTGTTAATAGTGGTATTATTGATGAGCTATTAAGGATTTGAGTGTCATGTATGCAAATATGAAAGTTCAATTGTTAGATATGTAAACAACATAAATGCTCCCTTTATTCTCATCACAAATAATGAATAATTGTTATAGATTATAGAAGTAATATTGTTCTTTGAATATTCCCATTCCAATTTATTTAATTTATCTTTAAAGAATACAATGGAATGTCCTTTTTCACTTAATAATCCTCTAATACTGACAATAGGAGTAATACGAGAAATCTCAAATACTTCAATAAGCACATGTACATGTATAAGTCTTTCTTTGATCTTCGTAAAAGCACAATTAGCTAACTTAGTCTAACTAAATTCTCCTTTCAAAAAAAAAAAGTAATTAAATCTAGAGTTAAACCACTTGCTATCTTAACAAGTACTCAAATAATGAGAATTCTGATTATCATAAAAATATTACTATGTTTTGTCATATTATTAATTGGTTTGACATTATTAAAATAGTTATACTATCTGCATATATAATAAATCCTAGAAAAACACAGATGAAGTTAACAAATAAATTTCTTCAAAATTAAATACAACATTTTTTCTTGTAAATCCTCAACAACTCTCCTAAGATGTAGCTAATTATAATCATGTTTTGCCATAGATTTAAATATCATTAAAGTAAATAAAAAAAAATTTCCCAAGTAAGGCTGCAAGATATCATTTATTATTGTTATGAAAGTATTAGGTGTATC